GCGATATTGCTACCGACCATTCCCTCGATGGTTGCCCTTTAGTTTTTATGTTGTATGTTTTATTTATGTTTTATAGAGTGTGTACTATATATTCTTTAAAGATTCAAATTTTGATAAGGAGCTAAATTTAGGATTATAGTAATTCCAGATACTAATATTTAAAGACTATTTCACCGAGAAACAAACTATATGGAAATAAGCTGAAATATTTTAATATACTATTTTGGTCTGTTGTGACCTGAAAGATGATGTTGAACTCAAATGTTTAATACTTGTTTGATGTATGCTTGAATTTGTAAAATTACAATGAAAAACTAACTTTAAAAAAAAAAAAGTAAAATCAGCTTATGTGGATATATTAAAATGCAGACAGACAAATAAAGCTATGGGTGTGAGCAGGGATTCTCATACTCAGTACCTAGGACACAATTTAGTACATTGTCAGGTTTATTCACGAAAGTAGCAATAATCAAAAACTTTAAGTGAATCTCACATTTTAGGCCAGAAAACTTTCAAATAGGAAAATGTATCCAAGTCAGGTATGTTTGCGTTTTATTATTTGGGCCTAAAATGGTAAATTTTGTTTGAATTCACTTTAAGATCTTGACCATCACACTTTATTGAATAACCCTTTCACTCCCTTTGTGATTCCAGTAACTGTAGACTAAATTGCCTTTATCTTTATTAGCATAATAAGAAGTCTGTTAGCTCGCTGTTACAGTGTCAAAGCATATAAACATCCTAACATAACCATTTTATTTATAAAGCTTCAGTATATTCTGACGCTCTTCATAATGGGTAAACAAACGAGATGACGAGGAGCTTTCTCATATGAGCTTATATAAATGCTGTCTGATCATTAAACAAACTAATGGGATTTCTTGACAGTAAACTCAGTGAATACCGTGACTGGGATGACATTTGTTTTACATGAAATTCTTTATTTACAGTCAAGGCTGAAGCCATCTTGGCTTTGTCGTGTGTCTGTCTCTTTATTTGGTTGTGGTGGCTTTTGTTTGAACAGACAAGCAGATTGCAGCTTGGAAGCTTTTGATCCTGCAGTGTTCTGCTCATCAGATTACAGTAAAAAAGTGCTTTTTTTTTTCCTCACACAGCGCTATAGAGTGATCTGTCAAATGATTTAAGTTCTCGAATGCGCCACAAAACACTACTAAGCATTGTACAATTCAGCTCCCAGTTATCTGTTCACTTCTGCATCTTGTCGGCGCCTTTTATTTCCCTGTCTATGACTCCCCTCGCGATTAAACTGTCGGACTTCTCACACGTTTCCTTTATATATGAGCTACATAGCAGGACATAAAGCAGAGTAAACTTAAAGCAAAGCAGGCCATCCCACTACACTGCTTGGTGTATACAGGTTACTTCTAACAAACCTGTGTAGATCAATGGAGAGCTGCAGCATTCTGGGACTAGGTCCACTCTTTGTATGTTCCCTTTTTATTTATTTTTAAAATAACTGCCATTTTTTATAAATAATTACTCGAGCAGGTACTGCATTTCAGAGAGAGTGGGTTTATTTAACAAATGGTCTCCGGATCTTAAATATGAACTTCACTTCCCATGATTCTTTATATTATGTTAACTTATCCCTACATTTAACAAATATGTTTTAGAGGTTTAAATGTAGAAATGCACAGCTATTTATCCTGCAATTAGACCTCTCTATCTCAGCTCCCTATCAATCAATGTTATAAGCGCAGTCCTTCACACCCGGCAGTCAGCATAGAGAAAGCAAACAGGGAAAAGGAGAGATGAAACAACGATTCTATTTCTCTTCCTCTCTTTGCAATGTTTGTCCTGGGTTTGCCTTGCCTGAACTAGATTATCATGTAATTTGCTAAATATTTAATATAACTTTTAAATCAAATGGAGAATCCTATGAAATAAAGATTAACACAAGTTATAGTATATGTGCTTTTCAATAATTTTATTCAATGGTATAAATTTCAGGGAATTGACAATTCCCCTTTTAAGAAAAGGTATTTTATAGTTAAATCTGACATATTGAAATTGAAAAGACTTGCCTAATGTATTACTTTCTTCCCAAACATATTTTGGAGGTTTTTTTTTTTTGTTTTTTTCCTCCCCCCCTCCCCCAACAATCAGGTTCTTTCCACTGTAGTATGCATTTTTGAAATTAAATTCTCCTTGTGTGCAGGATCATTTATAATAACTAACACAATTATGGTATAAAATGCATAAAGCAATGAAATTCCATGGAGAATAACCAATTATGTTCTATGATGACATCACAAGATCCATGGTTGAATAAACAGATGGGAGTAGCATTGTGCCTCAGGCATCTTGTGTTTTGAGTTATGCTATCGTAAGACAGTTCATTTCCCTGCTCCAGATATCTCTGTCCTTTATCCCAACGTATATTAGATTATATATAGAAAACTTAATTCAAACAAGAATTCATGACATTTACATCTCTCACCTCTAAAACATGCATGCAGTGAACTGGAAATGTATATTTTTAAATTGAATGAGGAAAAAAGAGATTCATTCATCTCGTAGTTGACAGCGTCAACGCCCCCCATTGCTGAGCAGTCCACACATTCTACTGATACTTAAAGCTATTATTTAACAATTGTGCTCTAATATGCCTAGAGATACTCTGTACAGCAAATTAACAGGAACAGTCACTTACCATGAAGCATGTTATGCCAAATTAGAGGCATTAGCATGTAAAGCATTCAGGCCCCTCTGAACCTTAGTAAAACTATCACAGCTAGATAGTGGGGAGGATGAACATACTCAGATCCCACTCCTATGTTCAATTCCTTCATTGACCTGAGTGCTATAGGATGATCTGCTGTAGGGCTTTATTCACTAAGTGACAAGCAATGTTTCAATTATTGAATAATAAACCAATCATTAGCAAATATGCTCCCCAGAACAAATGTGTATGAATCTCCACGTCAAGAAAGCAATGTCTCACAGTACATAGGACAATGTCTGGAAGCAGTGGCAGAACCAATGGTTCCCCTGAGAAACTCAATTGATAATTTCTCCTTTAAATTCAGTGTAGCTTTAACCAAACTTAAAAGGACAATAGAGTCACCAGGACAACTACAGCTTAATGCAGTTGTTCTTGTCAGTATAATCATTCCTTACAGGTATTCTAATGCAAACACTACCTTTTCAGAGAAAATGCAGTGTTTACATTGCCTCATAGGGATACCTCCAGTGGCCACTCCTCAGATGGCTATGAGAGGTGCTTCCTGGGGCAGTGCTGCACAGTGTGCAGGACTGCAATGCAGTGTCTAGGACTGCCTTGCAGTGTCTCCACCTTCTGCATGGAGACACTGAACTTTTCTCATAATGATGCAATGATTCAATGCATCTCTATGAGGAGGTGCTGATTGGTCAAGCCGGAATTTAGCTCTGCCCCCGTTCCACCTCCTTGCCAATTTCAGCCAATCCAATGCTTTCCCTATAAATTCTTATGATGTCAGCAAGGAGGCGGATCGGGGGTAGGGCCAGTGCAGCTGGAAATTAGGTACGTTTAATTACTTTTAAAGAGGAGTTAACAGTGGACAAGCCACCTAAATGGTGTTTTAACACTTTACGGTCAGGATTACATGTTTGTCTTCCTGACCCTATAGTGTTCCTTTAAACCCAATGATTTTCCAAATAAATAGCTAACTAAATCGCTAAGCAATACATAGCTATACATTGAGATTTAAGGGCACTGTAGGTACTGTAACTGCTTCATCTCATTGAGGTAGTTATAATTTCTGGAGTCCCCTGGTCGTAACCCTTCCATTCAGCTTTAAATCATTTTTTTAATGTTTGAATGCGAGAATCCTCTGCTGCTCATCCTCTCTTTGCTGCTCAGGATCAGGGCCCGTGCAAGGATTTCTGCCGCCCTAGGCAAAAATCCATTTTGCTGCCCCCCTCATGTCACTCACTCACTGACAGACAGACATAAACTCACTGACAGACACACACACACTCACTGACAGACATTCACTCACTCACTGACAGACAGACACACACACACACAGACACTTACTGACATGCATACACTCACTCACTGACAGACACACACACACACACACAAACACACTCATTGACATACAGACACTCACTCAATGACAGACACACACACTCCCTGACAGTCAAACACACAAACACTCCAGCTCCTCACTCCTCCATCGCGCTGTTTAGTATGCCGGGGCCGGAATTACGTCATAATACAGCTCCCGGCATCACAGAGGGCAGGTGAGTATATATTCAAATGGCCATTGGAATAAAACTAAAGAGCCTCCATTTAAATGTACATAGGGATTTGGGCGCAGGTAACGTTCACTTTGGTTCTTTGAGTGGTGTTGATACATATAAATATATAAGAGAATGAACATGAGTATATAATCAAACCAAGAGATTCTGTTTCATAGTTAGTTCAAATACTGATGATTTTTAACTCATTTTGCATATTATCAAGCAGAGTGATCAGCAATAACATAGCACAGTAACAGTAATGTAAACGGTAGCATTTACATCACAGTTCTAAAACAAAACCACAAGAACTGAGTGTTAAATAGAATTTACTTTTGTCCCAGTAGTGTTTTATATAGATTTCCCTAAGCAGCAGGTAAACACAATGTATATCTGTACTCTGTGGCAGGAAACACATCTCACAGTGTGTAGCTTTTATAGTTTGTTCAGTACAGTAAAAACTGTTATCGCTATAGAATCCACATAACACATTACATAAGCAATCTACGTGCGGAAATAAGTAAAACAATCGGTATGTTAAACAATTACATATAGCTGAGCACTTAAAATAGATGTATCAAACTGAGCCACGGTTGAAAGCTCATTTTATTAATTTGCATAATCACATACATTTCAGTCTTGGGCAAGAATAAGAGGCTTGTTAAGTATTGAATGCCAATAAGGATAATATATTATTTTTAAAACTCAAATGACATAACAGAGGGGGAGGGGAGAGAAAGAAAATGAATATTTCAAGGGTCTGATTCCCAGAGGTTGGATGACGGCTGTTCCCAATCTGCTCCCATAATCCACTGTAGGCTGAACTCTTTAAAATATTCTAAGCGATGGCTGCAATTGAATGTTAACAATATATAAACACACACACGTTTGCAGTTATAGGCACATTTGAAATATACAAGTGTACATAAAGACTTGGCAGGCTTAATTTAATTGTTTTGACAAATGAAGTTGCATTTGTAGCAATGTGGAAAGCAAATATTTTCGATAGCTATTCAAGTTTGACAGGATTTGTAGTTATTAAAAAATACGACAACACATTGAATAGATGGATAAACAGATTAAACCACTGTGATGTGCAAATACAAAAGCTACATCTTGGACCATTTTTGCAGTCTACATATGTAAGCTTTGCTTTTCAGTGTATGCCATTTGTTTGTTTGTTTGTTTATTGTGAATTCATGTCACAGTTTTTTTTACAGACCTAGAGCTATAGAATGTACAAGACAGATGATGAGGAACTATAAACTTGCAATAGCACATTCTGTTTGCTTATTGTGATTATGTTTTTAAATTCCGCTGAGCAACTCAGAGAAACAATATTGTGGCAGGTTTCATACAAATTTACACAGCATTTGACATTTCATTTTTAATTTTGCTAATTCATAAAACAAAGGAGACCATGTAAGGCAGTTGTTTGTTACTTACAAGTTGGGGCCCTGTCCTTCACCTATTTCATGTGGCGGTATTGGATACAAGGCCTCGTAGACTCTGCCGATACCAGAACCATGTATAGCATACGAATTCATCATGTCGACACCAGGTGGGAAATAGCTCCAAGGAATAAGAGCACTGCCATGCCATTTGCCCCAGTTTGTTGTGATATCTGTTTTAAATTCCAACGGTAGCTCTTTCTAATGGATAAAATAGTAACAGTTTACTTTTATTATTTACACGTGAGCCTTTGCTTTATTCTTTAAAAAATTACTCCATCCCTTTAGAGAGGTGGTTTTCTGTGTAATGTGCCTTATTGGGTACTATGACTTAGGTGACCCCTCTCTCCATTTGCAGAATAACCTACGAAGAATGATATTTTACTTACGTGGAATCCAGCGCTGGGTGATTTCCACACTCTCTCCGACATCACAGGAGCTGTGCGCGGCCATAGAATTCTCATAGAGGAGCCCATGGTTGGACCAATGTGATGGCTCAGAGAGCATGCACATGCTCCAGGCCGGTGATAGGTGGGAGAAGGGAAGAAGGAGGGAGGGAGAATTACTCTTAGTTTTAGAACAAAGGATGGTGGGAGGAAATTCCAACAGGGAGGGAGATTGGGAGGGAAGGGCTCTCAAAACGCAAAATAATCAAGTTGTAAGAAATCACTCCTGGTGAAATGCACTAAAAGATCAAAGAACTCTAGAAGATACCAGAACTGCTTGAACAATAATAAGATGACCGATAGCAGAACAAACTGAAGGAGTTTCTCACTAAGTTCAAAATCAAGCATTTTATCTGTATTAAAGTTACAGAAGCTTTTGTAATATTTCTACATCTGCCATGATTCTAATTTATTGTTCATAATGATTATCTCCAGTATGCTTGTGGGGTGTCCCTACTGCTTTGATGCTCATCACATTTACAAAGAAATAAATAACAGGGATTCTGTTAGATATTAGCTTTTTTGTGCTGGTTCACATATTATATGATTGAAGAGTTACTATAAGTAGCACAAAATAATTGCCGTGCTCCTGTATATATATTATTAATTAGCGCAGCATCTATTTCATGGTAAAACTGTTTACTTTATGGTTGTCTTCATATCAAAGGTAGTGATTTTACAGCTGAGTATCAATAAATATTGGTGTTAATTCCCATTTTTTTTATCTGTGATTCATAAAGACCTGTTTGTTCCCAATTCTCTGGAATCTAGAAATTAACCATTATGGAGAACATTTCCATCTAGTCTATTATTTCCTCAATTAAAAATTACATTTTCATTTCACTCTTTGTTGAATAAGCCCCCATGGATTTTTGGCTTAGACAATGTTTCTCCAGTTCTACTTTGTCCACAACAGTCATCATACTCAGTCCAACAACAGCCGTGGGGCCACACTATTCTAACAATTTTCCAGCCTATGATAATGCAAATGTTTTACCAGTATACAAGATACATTGCCTTGTTCTAAAAAGTCCTAAGGCATAAATGTTGTTAGTATCTGTCTAAGGGTACTCCTTTTTTTTAACCGTGAATTGATGAAAGGTCAAGACCCAAGATTATATAATCTGCAACACTGAGGGTTTAACTGTCAGAGTTGGCACATTTACAAAGTAAGCTATCTAAATGGCTACTTTATATTTTCTCGTAGGATTACTTGTAAAGTGGTATGCATAAAATGGAAAATAAATATGTAAATTCCTTCAATATTTGCAAAAAAAATTCAGGCAATGCCAACTTATAACCTGTTTCAGAAGCGGGGCACGACTGCCAAGCTGAGCAGACACTTTTCTTTAGAAATCCTCCGTGCCTGGCTTTTTATGCACATTTTCAGCCTAGTTGAGAACCCTGGCTTCTGGAATTGCTGTGGTACTTCAACACTTACTGAGATTTGTCTGCTCATCTATCGTTCATGCATCTGTACCTTGGACCTGATCGCCTGTACCGGTGGAGGCAGCTGAAGCTCGTACCAGGGTGGAGCATATGACACCAAAATTGAACCATCACACCATTCCCAGTCCTCACTGTGGAGGCTGCCAATAACCTCAATAATGTCATTAAGGGACTGATCTGCCCATTAAAGCTACAATGGAGCTACACCTAACCTACAACAAGGGGATACTCTGACCCGATTCCAACATCTTTTTGAAAGGCAGTGTTGTAGAGGTGAGCTTCCCAGAAGCTATACTATGCCCACCTCTGAGCGAGGGGTCAACAGAGACAAAGCAAGAGTCCACGGAACCCTACATTGGGCAACGTATCTCTCATCATCACTCAAACATTGGACCCTCCTGGACTAAGAGCCAGTAGAGGAATACACCAATCACAATACCCACACCTATGAAGTGCATCTCAGAAGAGATATACAAGAGACAGAATGAAGCACATAAAGTTACTCTCCAGGGGAAGAGCTATTACCTGTAACCAGGCCAGTGGCGCATTGGTGCAGGCTCCATATCAGGCCTGGGGCTGGCGTGACGCACCATCGAAATACAAGCATCATTGCTTTGTCTCTATCAGGGACATCTGCTCAGCCCCTCCAACCTTACACATAGTGGGAATAGGGTGATTGCAAATTATGGGGACATTCTCCAGTTGAAACTCTGGCCAATTTTGTTGTTTTTAGTTGTTTATATTTTTACCTGTGTCTAAATGGGACTCGTGCATCTTCGTTGCGGGTAAATTCACAGTTTTTTATGACCAAAACTAGGCTGCCTTTCAGGGATTAACAAATATACTCTTTGTCTTATGCTTGTATTTTGTATGTTTGTTTTATTTTTATTTTCCCATCGTATACAATTGTTTTTACTGTGCCTGTTAACTTTAACACAACATGCATGGTTGTTAACCCCAACCAGACAGCTAAGCCTTACTTTATCCTTTGTTACAACATTTCTTGTTTGAGATACCTTTATAGTTGCTAAAAATGCACATGACTCTTACTACATTTGATCCTTCCCATGATGCTATTGCATGCTGGTATTATTTGCTTTCGGTATTATCTATCTCAATGTGCAATGATTTTTCTTGTTACCATTATAATAAAAATGAGGTTTCATTATCTTATGCAATATCATTCTGTTATGCCGTAACTTGCATTTCATGAATACCTATGTATTTTATGTCTCACCAAAACCTCATTTAAAAAAGGACTGACTAAAATACCTGTTTTATTCATACCTTGCAATGAGTTCATCTAAACTGACTCATTTGTTAAATGGCCTAAACTTGTTCACTTATGCAACAATCTCAAAACATTAAAACTACACAAAACAAACAGGTAGGCAAATGTATCATGCCAAATCTATTATAAAAGATTATTCTGAAGTAAAATGCTATTAGTGTATAGGTTCTCATTTAAAAAAAACTGGAAACTTAACAAAAAAAGCATAGAAAATTATTCAAATTGATCAGTTGTCATTCTCCAGGTGCGTTTTGCTGAAATAGGTGTATGCTTTAAATTAGACTTGGAGTATAGAATTTTAGGAGAGCCTCTGACTGCAGTACAGCTGGGAACATAACAAAAGATACAACAGTTGGACACTGTATTTCAAATGCAGATTGTTTTGTAATGATTTCTGCATTCTGAACCTCAAAGGAATGTTCAAATCTGCTCAAGAACAAAAAAGTGATAAAGCATTTCTGCACCAGATGATAGGAGCTTAAGAAAGTGATTGGATTTCTGAGAAATTGAGGGAGCGAGCACTACTCTTGAAAGCTCATATTTAAAGTATATTCTGTTAGACCAAAAAAGTTATCCTCTATTATCAGAGTTTAGCATTTATATCCAATTGCTACTGGGCTCAAATGGCGACCAGGACATGTTTTATGACACATGATCTAGAAAGGATGCATATATTATTTTTTACTGTGCTTGTCTGAAATATTGGTTGACAAGTTTTTTGGTCATTTCTAGCCGTCTTATAGTTAGATTTTTGCTTAGCCAAAGTGCAAAGCAAAACCTTTAAAAGAGTATATAATTAGAACTACACTACACAACACAGTGGGAATCTGATCTCGGAGAGGTCCTAGAGTGCACAGACTGGAGGGAAATATAGGATGCAAATAGGGCTACCTCAGTATGTGTCACACAGCAGGAAAAAGCATACAAAACCATACTGAAGTGGTACACTACCCCAGTGAAGTTATACCATATGCACAAGACCCAGATGACCTCTGTTGTAGGGGTTGTGTACACAGGGGGACATATAAACACATGTGGTGGGACTGCCTTAAAGCACAGTCCTTCTGGGAAGAGGTGAGAGGCCTTTTGGAGAACGTACTCCAGACACAGGTAAAAACAGATCCATGGGTAATCCTACTGTCCAGGCCAGTAGGTCACTGGCCACGAAAGGAACAAACCCTATTGCACAAACTCACCCTAGCGTCCAGGCGAACCATGGCACAAGTATGGCTCAAACCTGACGCCCTCTCGTTGGACACTGTAATTCATAAAATTAAAGATACCCATATCATGGACCATCTCAATGCACAGGTTAGGGGTACAATGAAATCATATGAAAAGATATGGGAGATTTGGATGGCTGAAGATTGGGGGGACTAGGGGTAGCAGGAACTGGGAGGGTGAGACCTAAACCTCTACACCCAGTAAAATGAATCCTGCCTCTGGCGTTCCGACTCAGCGGGCCACGAACCCACGATAGTCATGAAACTCCTGCCGGGCCAACCAATCTAGAAAAGGCCTGAACCTTACCACAGAAACCTAACTATAGCAAGCAAAAAAAATTTTCAAAACTAAAAATACAAAAAAAATTAAAATAAACCTACATCCCTAACTCCAACCATGTGAGGGACACTATCCTTTCCTTCCTTCCTCCCCTCTTCATTTCTTTCTCTACCTCTTGTGAGAGTGTCATTAAACTGCATACGTACGAGCAACTATACAACTACTTAAAAGGCTGACTTGCGAACAATCTTGAAATGACACTGTTTATGTTAATGTTATGCAATATGTTATTGTTTATTAAAAAACAGTGTTGTCGGAACGCTAGACGCCCATGAAAAACAGCAAGGAGGCCTACCAGCACCAATTACCAAAGCAATGGGAGTCATATGACAACTGCCAACCTGTATTTATATTGTTGTCCAACAAATGCATGTAATGTTTTTAAGGTTATCACATGTGCTGCAACGACAAACCAAAAATAAAGAATTTAAAAAAAAGAGTATGTAATTTAAAAGATTTTGTTTATGTGTATACAAAGGATTGATGATGTTGAATCATTTTTAATATTTTATTGCTAAGCAAGAGTCCTATGCAAAACATCCTCTCTGTGCTGCTTGCACTAATGAGGAAGAATTAGCCTGAGCAGCAATGTGCAGTTGTATTTGGCTCAGAGTGTCATATGACCACTTTTAGCCTATTACAGAACCCAATCCTGGTATAAATTGGTACAGCTAAAAGGATATTTTCTATATATGCCTTAGCCAGATATAGCTCATTTTACCTGTACCAATTTGTCATAGCTGTCTTAGCCAGGACTGGATTGTGCTATGGGTAGCCAAGGACCCTTATTTAGTGTTAAACTGCTTGAAATGGTTTAACATTGAAGGGAGGGACAGAGCGAGGGAACTCTAGGCACTATAGCAAAATTCAATGATGTGAAATAATTATAGTGTCTACAGCAAGCATGTCAAACTTGCGGCCCAAGGGTCGCATGTGGCCCACAATGTATATATTTGCGGCCCACCTGCCCTGGGGCCACTTTGTGTTGTGGCTGCGACTAGCTGCAAGACATGAAAGATATTTCCTCTCTGATTCTTGTAGTCCCTCCCACCGCCAATCGTGTGCTCCCACGGCCCAAGAGCGCAGAGTGGCTGACTGTTTGCAGAGCAGGACAGCCACTCCCTCTTCCCTCCTGCTTGCAGTGCCAGAGGAGCATCTGACCTGCTTGAGTAGAGAAGAGCAGGGCTGGAAATGGAGGACGGGCGGCTCATCTTAAGAAAGGGGAGCTTGGGAAACCTTCCTGTGTAGTGTGTTCAATTGGGGAGTGGGGGCAGTGTATTAATTTGGGGTAGGGAGTGGGCAATGTATTAATTTGGGGGAGGGAGGGGTCCAGTGTATTGAATGGGGGGGCAGTGTATTAATTTGAGGGATGGATGGGCAGTGTATTAGAGTGGTGGGGGGCCAGTGTTTTAAATTGGGGAGGGAGGGAGCAGGGTATTCTATTAGAGTGGAAGTCATTTTAATAGATTAAGGGGTAGTGTATTGGATTTGTGGGCAGTGTGTTAGATTGGGTCTGCATGGAAGTTTGATGATCTCAGCCAAAGTGAAGAGCACACTCATAGACTTCAAAATCAATAAGATAACGTCATTTAAGCATACATTCACCATTTCAGTCCCATTACCAAACTTTTCTTAATATGTCAAGGTAGTTGGACTGAAACATTGGTTATATGCAAATGCACGAGTCGTTAAAATTAATTTGCTTTTTTATTTACTTTGAAGCCCTAGGAGCATGAGCACTTCCAGTGTCAGTTAGGCAACTTCTTTTATACTGTACTTTTCTAAATAAACCTATGTTTCTATGAAAACTGTAGGTTTTGGGGGTTTTCAGCCCACATAAAATTAAACCTTGTTTATTTGGCCCGTATTAGCCTTTGAGTTTGACATGCTCGGTCTACAGTGTCCCTGTAACATATTTCATTCCCCTACTTTCTTTTTTGCATTGGATTTGATATTTTTTACTGGCATCAGTGCCTACCATGTATCTTTCCTGATAAAGTATTTTATAAATAAAATGAATAAATACTGCTATGCTGCATTCCGCTGTTCATAATAGCAATTGATCTTATAATATGCAACTAAAGGATAGTGTCCAAAATGTCCCAGATGTTGCTGACACTATTGAAAACTATATCTTTCAATCACTGCTCAGATTTATGGTAACACATAATGAGACATATGAAAATGTTGATTGACAAGTCTTGTATCCATGATGTTAAAAAGATCAGGTATTTTTTTATCTCTACCATACACTTCTGATTTTATGGATTAGCACATTTTCAAGCATTATTTACATACACGGTGCAAGTTGTAGAGGTGCAAATGTTTGAACCAGGTGAGAATACACAGTTGTCAGCTACATTCTGCCCAGAATTTATCATGTTTTCCATATTCTCATCTTAACAGAAATGTAATTACAGTCTGACTTTGATAATTTATTATTCAAACAGTGAAAGCAGGGGATTTGTAGAAACATATTTGTAATTAACAGATTACTAATACAAGATAAATATATTTCCATGTGTAGCATTAATTCTAGTGATTGTTTACCTAACAATCTGATGGCAATAAATCATTGAGGGTCAAACTGTGGATGCCAAGATCAACTTATTGTGTTGTTTAAATCACTCTGATTGGAGGTAAAGGTTGCATTCTGGTCCCTCCTCTTCTGTAATAAATCCTACTGGACACAATGCTCAAATATAAAACAGCCGTAAAGGTCAGGTTTCTGTAAGACCTGTGTGTGAAGAACC